AAAGGACTCTCTCCTTTACCACTAATTTAATTTCTTTGTTTTAAATCCAGTCTGTGTTTATTTGGGATCATGTGTATCAACTGTGTTCCAAATAATTCAGAATATTTTTATAAATTTTTCCTGAATAATCAGTTCTGTGAACAGGAATACGATCTTTAACAGTTCTATGAGACTCTGGATTTAAATGAACTAAACTCCATTAGACGACAGTATTTGTGTGTAAGTCCTGATGTATCTCAGTTTAAAACAGAAAAGATGGAAGAAAGTGGTCGTTTTTTAAAGTCCGATCCGTGTTTTCCAGCACACCGATTAAAATAATCCATCACTGATGCTGAGTTAATGGACTATTTTCTATTCAGACTCTTTGTGTGTTTTGCCTTTTTAGTACAGTGTACAATTTCTGTTTGTTATTTATAATTTAGTCTATTTTGTGTTTATCCCTGAACAAAGAGGTCAGAGTCTCTTGTGTATTATTCAAACTCCCCTAATTCAGCTGGCTAGTTGCTATCAGAGTAAATAGCTAAATAACTGGGGGAACCAGGACCAGAGGGTTCTGGGTTGGAGTCCCGGGGGAACCAGGACCTTTCTGGGTGGAGTGTGCATGTTCTCCTGTGTCTGTGGGTTCTCTCCGGGTTCTCCGGCTTCCTCCCACCCTCCAAAAACCTGCATGTTAGGTTGTTGGACTCCAAACTGCCCTTAGTGTGAGTGTGTGTGGTTGTTGGTCCTTGCGTGTCTCTGTGTGTCCCTGTGATGGACTGGGGACCGTCCAGGGTGACCCCGCCTCTCCCCATTGGCTACTGGGATAGGCTCCGCCCCCCTCGACCCCATTAGGGAATAAGGGGTTACGATAATGGACGGATGTTTTTTTAACTCATTGACTGCCAGCCATTTTCAGAACAGAGAGTCCCATACTGCCAGAGTTTTTTGAGCATTTTGACTGATTTTTCCAGAGCCACAGAATAGTTTGTGCTATGACTATGTAAACACCGAACACACCAAAAGAAAGAGTAGACTCTCTTCTTTCATCAGAAAAAAAAATGTGTTTCTACCTTATTCCGTTCTTCCTCGACTTGCGTCTCACCGGCGACATGTTCTCTCATAGCGAACCGTTACCTTTTTCTTATTTGCCTACAGTCTATGCTCATTTCCCATCAAAAGTGGCACTGCCCCCTAGAGGGTCAATTTGTTAGTACATACTCTGTCTAGAAGCCTGATATTTACGGACAAGCTTTAGCAGATCGTCCCCCAGCCACTCTCGTTGAAAAACATAAAAGACGTCTATAGACGTCTTTGGCAGCCGATGAGTTAAATAACGGCTCCTGGACCCTGTTTCCTAACCCCCTCTTCCCCCCCACAGGGACCAAAATGGCGCTGAAGTTCCTGAGGAAGAAGAGCACG